GCCTAAGTCAGTGTAGTTCCATTTTGACTTTGCATCTGAGTTACCCAGGACACTTACAAATATCCAGTTAAATAGATTAAAATGACAAAGGTGTTTTCTATCATTTAAAAAAATCTTTTCTCCATTCATTCTTTACCATAATCTCTTGGAAATTTGAAATTGTTTCCCTACTTAAATGAATTTTCCTCTGTGGTGCTCAAACCCTGACAAATAGCCCTGATATTTACAGTGTTGCTCAGGAGCAGTGAACTACTAGCACTGCTTCAAAACCACCACAACAAAGAGTCCATAAAACATTTTTGTTTCAAAACAAAGAATTACAGGATTATTGCAAATCAATATATTAAAGGAAAAGTTTTAATCTTCAGCATAGTTTACAAATAAACCTAAATCCCCGCAACACCCTACTAAAGTGGGAATGAGGCAGAGGTGCTCAGTGACTTCCCATGGGACACCAAGAGTGTGTAAAGATCAGGATCAGAACTCAGGAGTTAGTGGTTCCTCATCCCATATTCAGACAAATAGATTGAGTTTGTTTTTTGGACGGCTAACAATAGCATAAGCTACAGCTAGGAAAAAAGGAATCTTAAATTGAACTTGAGATGTCATCAGAGAAATCTTCTCAGTAACACAGGGTGAGATAAACATTTGAAACACGCTTTTCAGAGCCTTTTTTTAAAAGAAATCACACCCTAATTTGAAGTGTTCCTGCTGAGTTTATTTCTGAGAATTCTTATTAACAGCAGATAAACTAAAGAGCAACTTACCGAAAATGAGGCAGTGTTAATGATGAAGATGAGAATGACCAAAAAAGGTTAACATTTGTGAACATGATATTACAAATGGAGAAGTTATGTAATGCATGATGATAGAGAAGAATGAAGGCAATGATATGCAAATCCATCTGTCCAAGCTACTCAGTTGAAAAGAGCGCTGGATGGAAAGAAACAAGCAGACACATTTATAGTCCACCAGAAAACCTTGTTTCTCTTTATAAATGCACAAATGGAAAAATCTGAATAAAACCCTACAATGAAATTCTGTTTACAGGTGTTGTGGATAGAATCCGAGAGTGCTAAAGGAATTGGCGGCTGTGATTGCAGAGCCATTGGCCATTATCTTTGAAAACTCGTGGCGAACCGGGGAAGTCCCGGATGACTGGAAAAAGGCTAATGTAGTGCCAATCTTTAAAAAAGGGAAGAAGGAGGATCCTGGGAACTACAGGCCAGTCAGCCTCACTTCAGTCCCTGGAAAAATCATGGAGCAGGTCCTCAAAGAATCAATCCTGAAGCACTTGCATGAGAGGAAAGTGATCAGGAACAGTCAGCATGGATTCACCAAGGGAAGGTCATGTCTGACTAATCTAATCGCCTTCTATGATGAGATTACTGGTTCTGTGGATGAAGGGAAAGCAGTGGATGTATTGTTTCTTGACTTTAGCAAAGCTTTTGACACGGTCTCCCACAGTATTCTTGTCAGCAAGTTGAAGAAGTATGGGCTGGATGAATGCACTATAAGGTGGGTAGAAAGCTGGCTAGATTGTCGGGCTCAACGGGTAGTGATCAATGGCTCCATGTCTAGTTGGCAGCCGGTGTCAAGTGGAGTGCCCCAGGGGTCGGTCCTGGGGCCGGTTTTGTTCAATATCTTCATAAATGATCTGGAGGATGGTGTGGATTGCACTCTCAGCAAATTTGCGGATGATACTAAACTGGGAGGAGTGGTAGATATGCTGGAGGGCAGGGATAGGATACAGAGGGACCTAGACAAATTGGAGGATTGGGCCAAAAGAAATCTGATGAGGTTCAATAAGAATAAGTGCAGGGTCCTGCACTTAGGACGGAAGAACCCAATGCACAGCTTTACAGACTAGGGACCGAATGGCTAGGCAGCAGTTCTGCGGAAAAGGACCTAGGGGTGACAGTGGACGAGAAGCTGGATATGAGTCAGCAGTGTGCCCTTGTTGCCAAGAAGGCCAATGGTATTTTGGGGTGGATAAGTAGGGGCATAGCAAGCAGATTGAGGGACGTGATCGTTCCCCTCTATTCGACATTGGTGAGGCCTCATCTGGAGTACTGTGTCCAGTTTTGGGCCCCACACTACAAGAAGGATGTGGATAAATTGGAGAGAGTCCAGCGAAGGGCAACAAAAATGATTAGGGGTCTGGAACACATGACTTATGAGGAGAGGCTGAGGGAACTGGGATTGTTTAGTCTGCAGAAGAGAAGAATGAGGGGGGATTTGATAGCTGCTTTCAACTACCTGAGAGGTGGTTCCAGAGAGGATGGTTCTAGACTATTCTCACTGGTAGAAGAGGACAGGACAAGGAGTAATGGTCTCAAGTTGCAGTGGGGGAGGTTTAGGTTGGATTTAGGAAAAACTTTTTCACTAGGAGGGTGGTGAAACACTGGAATGAGTTACCTAGGGAGGTGGTAGAATCTCCTTCCTTAGAAGTTTTTAAGGTCAGGCTTGACAAAGCCCTGGCTGGGATGATTTAATTGGGGATTGGTCCTGCTTTGAACAGGGGGTTGGACTAGATGACCTCCTGAGGTCCCTTCCAACCCTGATATTCTATGAATCATGTGCATTCTGTGAATATTTTTGTTAATTCTGAATCAAACTGTTTTGGTGATATTTACACACCTTTATAATTTGATTTCTGTAACTGTTCATTTGCCAATAATGTTTTGTTTAGGAGAATGTTCCTGGAAAATTGAAATACCATACATTTTCAAGAAGGGTGAAGATTTATGTTGAAAAGGTTCACATGGCCATCTTGTAGTATGGGTCAGGTAAAAAAGAAATTAATTGACATGGAACTAATCATATAAAATACCAATTTTTTATTTTATTTTACAAATTTGAATGATCAAGGGAATCCTCTTAGTTTATGAGAAATCCATGGGCTAAAATTTGTTTGCAAAACATTTGTCAAACATTTTTCAAATGATGAACAAATTTCCAAAAGTCACTATCTGGTTATGGAAATTTTGCTATTATGTAAAAGGTCCAAATCCACTTAATAAATTGTTCACAGCAAACTTTTCACTTGGTTCTAGTAACAGGTAATGTCTGCACTGAGTTTCATTAGGCCTTTTTGCTTTTGATTCTCATAGCTGTATCTGAGTCACCCTAAAGTCTGAAAATATGAATGCAAAGTTTCAGGAAACGAACTCCGGAAGAATTTGATGCTCAATCCAAATTACAGTCTTTTAAATTGTGTACCTTGAGCTGGTAGAAAATTTGCTGACAGAACACTTTTCTATCAGAAAATGCAAACTAGACTGAATTGAAACTTTCTGCAGGAACTTGTCAATGGAAACTAGCCTGGGCTCACTGGGCTGTCCAACCCCCAAACCAGAATTTTTTAAACTGTCCATACGGTGGAAAAATTCATATAGCCAACTTTTCATTTCAAATAGGAATGAAATTTTTTTTCAGAAATGTGAAATTTTCCATGGGATAGACATTCCAGTTTCCACACAGCTCTATGTAAAACAGGCTTTTCTACAAAAGACATATACTTAAATCAAGCAAACTTTCATTGTGTTTCCAGATCTGACACAATACTATTTTCTAACGCAAGAAAAGGAAATCCACCATAGTATTTTGTGTGAGGATTCAAAGATCTTTCCTGGCTGCCCTTGCCAAGATATAAATCATTTTCTTTCGTGGTCTCAGAGAGTGCTTTGCAATAAATTAATCACAAGCCACTTTAAAGGAAAGAGAAAAAAACTAAATGTGAAATGAAAGAGAAAATCTAGCTTAAACTTTCTGTGCCTGTTCTCTATTTTCATTGTCAACACTTACCTTTAAATAATGGCAAAAGTGAGGTAGGAATATTGTCGAAGTACATTCAACACTTCTACTGTGTGTGTTAGCATTTCTAATACTCTCTGGTGTTCCCACTACCACCAACAAAATTAAACATTATAAAAGTTACAGATAGGACCTCCCTCATTCTTACATTATCTCCCTATCTTATGAGCCAGGCTATAGACTGAGGACCCAGACAGACACAGCCTGGAAACCAGGATATGCTGAATTTTCTAGCATTCCCCAGCACCCAGCCATACTCTGTTAGAGTAGATAAAAGGCTTTCAGTCTCCTCACAGAAGAGGAAGAAAGGCAATTCATGAGGGAAATACAGTAATTTTAAAAAGCCATTATAAATGAGCCCAGTAGTTCAGCAGATGTGCTCAAGTACAAAGAGCTGTAACTATGAAGTTAGTCAGTTCCATCCACAATCATGCAATTCTGACCCAGCTTGCTTTTATCTTTTATGTCAGGCGATCTAAAGAAAATAGGATTTTATTTACTGGGAGAGGAGCAAATAAACTCACGACAATTAAAGAGCAGAAATAATCTCTCGGTGGTTTAGGCCAGAGGCGTTTTAATGATAAAAAGGCTTAGATAAATTACTCCGGCCAAGTGTCTTGGTTGCCTTCCCTTTTCCTTTGCTCCCAGGGTGAAACAGGCAGACCAGGCTCATTCTATTTACTGTATCCTTTTAAGCTCTAACACACACATTTCGTCAGTCAGGAAATGATGGTACAACTGTCTTAAACAAAATCAGTTCTAAAAAGCCCATGGGAAACGTGGAGCACTGTGAACTAAGTCTTGGTCCCATCAAAGTCAACAGGAGTTTTACAACTGACTCCAGCAATATGTTCTGTGGCCTTGCATTTACCCCTGCTCTCTTCTGTGGGCGTTTCAAACAGCAGTCTTCTAATCTGGCAATTATAAAGCTTTCTTTTTCAATTGTAGCTGCTCTATTGCACTTTCTGTTCCTATTTCCAATTCTAGGACCTGATTCAAGAAAGCTGTTCAGCATGTGCTTGAGTCCTATTGAAGTCAATTGGAGCTAAGAACCTGCTTAGAGTTAGCACTTTCTTAAGTACTTTCCTGAATCAGGGCCAACTAAGTGCAAATTTGCATCACCACATTCCCACACAACAGCTCTCCACCAGTCCCCCCCTCACTCCTCGGCCGTCTGCACTTACCGATAGAACGTAGCATAAGCCATCGTTGAGTGACAATTCTGAAACTCCCAAGCCTTGAGTTTCTGGCATTCCCGATGGGCCCGAAGTTTTACCCTCACTGTTCCTTGGCACAGTTCAGGCACAGCTTTCTTCTGTGGGCGACTGCAGAACTCATTCGACTCCACACGCCAGGACTCAGCAAAGTCATCCACATCAAATTTGAAATTACCATCACCCCCTACCAGGTCATCTCTCTTGTGCCCATTATAGTTGCCACACAAGCCACAGAGTTTGCCTTTCAGATGTGGTGCAGCCATGACTTCGACAAAACTGTCTCCATCCCAGGAGATTTCCAAGCCTATTTCAGAGAGGAAGAAGAGGGGGAAAAGTTAATAACTAAGAGCTATTTGTGTTTATAAACGAGTTTATACGTTTACACTTAAACGAGTTTTGAAGGGAACCTAAGTAAAAACATTTGGTTTCCTTCATGAAATCTATACATGCCTCAGTAAGGGCCTCCTCTCAGTAAGTGCAATATTACTCGGATCAAAGATGATTACAAGGAATTGTAAGTGTTCGGTGGATCTGGATATGTTTGTTTTTCTGGTGGAAGGTACTTGATTGACAGATCTGGAGACGAAACAGAAGTACTGTAAGCGAAATCCTGACCCCATTGAAGTCAATGGCAAAACTCCCATGATTTCAGTGGAGCCAGGATTTCACTCATTATGTAGGAAAAGATGCAGCACTGGACAAACTTTGCCTATACCACAGCACATCTCCAATGAGTTCTGGAGAAGCCACTTGCTCTAAAAGAGCATTCAATCCCTGCCCTCTCTCCTCATGTTGCCAACTGATAACTCCTTTGGATAGGGACATCTAGTCTGAGACCAACAATTCATCTCACGCAGGTCAATAAAGATATGTCCGATGGGTAACAATGTTCAGACAGTACCAACCTGAAATGGATTCAAAATACTTAACTAAAAGGGCTTAAGGGGTCTGTAAGCCCATTACCAATCCTTGACCCAACTCATCTTCATAAATTACCAACCCAGTTGAAAGGGGGAGAGGGACTGAACACTCACCCAGCAGCTGAGATCCAGGTGGGTTGCTACATTCTGTGTCTGACAGCACTTTCTTAAACCTAAGATTTTCCACTTTCAGGACATTGAATTTTAAATTGTTTTCTATGAGAAAGTATTATAATAAATCCCCACCATTTTGTTATTATTTTGGATAAAAAAAGAACATTGGGAGCTGCTAAGGTTCAACTCCCACCAGAAATTCTTAACCTTTATTTTAAATCTTATAGCCACTATCACCCGATAATCATACTTTACAAACACTTTACACTTATGTAGCATGTTTCCATGAAAGCAGAACAAAGCACTCAACCAACGTTAATTTCTCCTCCCAACATCCCTTTGAGGAAAGTAAGTATCACTATCCCTATTTTATTGGAAATGAGACATGAGCGAGAATAAATGACTTTGTCAAATTCACACAAGAAGTTAGTGGTAGAGTCCAGAAAACAACCTGGATTTCATTACGCCCAATCTTATCACCCATAATGCCATCTGATTTCCCCGCTATGTTTATGTATTCAACTAACTAAAAAAACTAATCACTCCATTCAAAACTGGCACAGTTTCTTCTGTAAAAAGTTCTCATTGGCTCACACTACAGTTCCAATGTGCATAGCCCTCAAATAAAACAGGATATGCTTAAACGGTTATTGCAGTCAGAACAATGGCTGCAAAAGAGGTGCTTTGTCATTGGCATATATTGCCTTGGCCACACTCTGTCTTGAGACATGTAAGCAACAATGGTTTTGGGAGACAGTTGGCAAGCAAGATTTTGCAAGTACCTGCCCAATATTCCTCCCCACACAGGTTGTTTCTATAGTATGGTTTCTTACTGTGGCTCTAACACATTAGTGTGGAAGTAAACAATGTTACAAAAATGTTATGTCCTAATCATGTCTGAAAACAGTTCCTGACGTTGTAAGTTCCAGCATGGACAGGGCCTTTGTGTCCTCTCATAGTGGCACTCTAGTTTCCATTCAGTGTTCTATTCACTAGGCAGTGTAGCTTAGTGGCTAGGGCCATATAACGAAATACTGGAGCCCTGGTTCTATTCCTAACTCTGCTGCTGGTTTGATGGGTGAATTTGGGAAACTTGTTTGCCCCTCTCTGTGCCTCAGTTTCCCCATCTGGAAAATAGGGTTAACGATACTTCCCTCCTTTGTAAAGTGCTTTGAGATTTACCGAGAAAAAGCACTATAATGGGCGCTATGTATTTATTGTGCAGTTTGCTGACCAAAAAAAAAAGGCTTCACTATTTTTGACAAAGAGCCAGCAGAGCAGCAAGGAGGAAAAAGTTCTTTTACGCTGCTTCATGCATCAACAAGACTGCCAGACCACTCCAGCCATCTTTGTTTCTGACGACACTGCACAAAATAAAATACAGCTTGATTTTCAGACCCCATACAAAGCTTGCCGTGCTGGCATTTGGAAAAATCTTGCCGTTGACGTTTAAACCGAACCTTTTCCATATGGAAGAGTCACTGACATAGAATAAAGATTGAAGACCACGTTTGCAGAATAATTTTTCAGAGCTAGAGATAGGACCGAGCCACAGAGTACAGATCTGAATCCAAATCGAAACGTCACCAAAGTTTGGGGTGCCCAAATCTAAGTTCTAGTTCATCTTGGTTTATAACATAACTCTACTTTAAGAGTTTATGCTCAACTCATTCCATTAATGATCTTCATGAGGCTGCTGACCTGAAGTGGAGTCACAAAGGGACGGGAAGGGAGAATGTCCCACACCCAACTAGTTCAGGAGTAATGCTAATTCAGAAAGGGATAGATTACTCAGCCCTTACTCATGTTGGTGAGCACTTGAATTCTGAAAAATGGGTCTAAACTTGGTGTTTTAAGGCATTTCATATTTATTTTCCATCAGCAATTTGATGTCTAAAAAGTGATTCATTGACGTCAGTGGAACTACTCATGATTACCAGCTTTAATAAGGCTTGTGCAGCACAGCCCTAAATAAACTATTCTAAATGTTCCTGTATCCTTTACAACAGTGGTCACCAACCAGTCGATCGTGATTGACGGATCAATCCTAGAGGATCTCCCAGTCGATCGCGATCTCCAGCGGCACAGTGGGGTAGCCACTAAGACAGGCTCCCTGCCAGCCCAATCCCAAGCTGCTCCCAGAAGTGGCCAGCGTAGCCCCGGGAGCAGAGGGGCAGGGGTCTCCCTTCACGCGCTGCTCCTGCCTGCAGTCACCGCCCCCGCAGCTCCCATTAGCCAGGAATGGGGAGCTGTGGCCAATGGGAGCTGTGGGGGTGGTGCTTACAGAGAGGGGCAACGTGTGGAGCCACGTGGACCCCCAGGGGCCAAAGGGGCGCATTGGCCCCTTCTGGGAGCGGCGTGGGGCTGAGGTAGGCAGGGAGCCTGTCTTAGCGGCAGCCACGCTATGCTGCCAACCAGGAGCCACCAGAGATAAGTGCTGCCTGGCAGGAGGCAGGCCGCACCCCAACCCCTAGCCTTGAGCCCCCTCCCAGAGCCAGCACCCCATAGCCCCTCCTGCACCCCAAGCCCCAGCCCTGACCCTCCTCCCAGACCCAGCATCCCATCCCCCTTGTATCCCATCCTGCACCCCAACAATTTGCCCCAGCCCAGAGCCCCCTCCTGCACCCCAACCCCATACCCCAGGCTCAGCCCAGAGTCCCCTCCCACACTGTGAACCCCTTGGCCCTAGCCCACACCCCCTCCCGAACCCCAACCCCCTGCCCCAGCCTGGTGAAAGTGAGTGAGGGTGGGGGACAGCAAATGACAGGGGCGGGAAATGGAGTAAGTGGGGCGGGGCTTTGGGGAAGGTGTGGGGCCTCGCGGAAGGAGTAGAGTAGATCTCAGGTTGCCCTTAAATTCAGAAAGATATCTTGGTCATTAAAAGGTTGGAGACCACTGCTTTACAATATTTTAAAGAGCTAGCCAGTGTGTGTTCATGCCCCCCTCTCTCTGAGCCCCATCCAGAGAAGATGTCAGTTACAGTCTCCCACTACAAATTCTGGCTCTTTAAGACAAGCTGTAGACATTTGTACTTCTAAATGTGTCGGTTCCTGGTTCAGTTCCCAGCGTTGACCAAGATAGCAACTGTCGCACTAGTAAAACAGGACTTTTCTAAAACTGCATTTAGTTTAATTACACTATCTCCTGATTTCATTTTCAGGTCTTAATGAACCTTTTGTAACTGTATAATGCTACATTTTTAGATTCATTATTTTTCAACCATTCAGTGATGCTTCTTTGGTTTTGATGAACAAAATAAAGATTTCTCTCTCTAATGGAGCCTTTTCTGCTTTTGGATAAGGAGGAATCGTGTTTATATTATGACATTAGCTAATACTGTAATATACAGGATATTTTCATTCTTGCCTGATTACACTGTATAATGTGTATCTTTTTGTTGGTGCATATGTGGAAATTTTCATTTATTTCAATAAACCAACTAACAAAAGGGATTATTCTATGGAATAATGTTTGAAATGGTCTCCTTGGCAGACAGAAACTGTTTGAAAGTATTACTTGGTGCCTATTTTTTTTTTTCACTGAATAGATGAGTTTCCCATTCTCTTGGATGGGAGTCAGGGTGTAAGCAATTGGCAGGATTTGAAGCCAAAGGATGCAGCATCTGTCCCATCTGGGGATGTGCAGCATAGGAACATTTTTTGAGTTACGTTTTAGGGTTTTCCAATTTTCCCTTTTTTGAGGGATGCTAAACCAACTTGTTACTCAGCTTAACTTGGCACAGTATACTGAATTGTAAAAAATTCATTGTTCATTTATGCATGTCCCACACTGAGTCTCACTTGCTGGAGGCTCACATCAATTGTTCTGCAGAATTTTTCACAGTTAAAGCATCCTCAAGATCTGGCAGCCAAAATTCTGCTCTAAGGGTTTAGGTCCAAATACTTGTACACAAAGCCTCAGCAAATAGGATTTGTACAGAGGATCTGTGCAAGGTTTGTGCAGATAGAATACTCTCCCATCCTGATAGTAGAATTCCCGCATAATATCAGCCGTGCTCCCTTCTGTTTCCAACATGGGGATTTTAGACAAAGTCTCTACAAAACCACAGATCCACTACAGTACACTTGACCAACTATTTGCACCATCAGAGAGCGTGGCACCAGAATCGCTGCTTCCTGGTGCTCAATACTTTCCATCTCCCTGCACAGCCTCTCTGTAGCAAGTTCTGCCACTGTGCAGAGGAGCCAGGTAGTTCTGTTGTTTTCAGATGTTGTTTGCCCAGGCAAAGAGGAATTGGCCCTTAGTGGTGTGTTCAGTGAAAGAAATCTGATCCTTGTCCATTAAAGCGAAGAATTATTCGGTCTATAATTTGCAGCAATTACATATTATTCAGGACGCTGTCATATGTCATATTTGCACTACATCTTCCACCACAGGGACAAAGATGTATGCAGTTGTTTATTGGCCTTATGTCAACAACAAATGGAACAGCAGCAGGATTAGCTGCCAGTCGTCTTTGATTCAGAACCTCTCTCTGGGCTGTGGTTGGCTAATGAATTCCACATCACTAGAATTCACAGTGTTCAGCTGACTGCAGAGAGAAACCCTCAAGATGCTTTAAATTAGAACTTTTGAGTAATGGTCCTCTTGTGTACATTTTACAGACAGGCACAAAAATCTGCCTTGCCATTTTGAGGAACAAGCCCAGAGCTGGGATCCACATTATGCAGGGTTACATTTCCAGTGGATATGTGAATAGGTATCTCAATTCTCATCTCAGAAGTGGATGCTATGATACGTGTAAAATAATCATGCTAGCTAATGAGTATCACTGTGCCTCATGTCTGTGACTGTATCACTTTATCGGAGGGACTGGTTTCACTGCTTTCACATGGCATTTAATTGAATTAACAGTAAATATTATTCTCACTGAAACAGTACTCCACTGTATAAGTGAAATTTCCCGGGACTGCCACCTACCTGATGTGTGCTAATGAGTATTTTCTTAACTTCCACCCTCTGTTTATCTCTGCTGGGGTTCTACAGTCTCAGATCAGTTTATCAGAACAGCTGTATGCCCAATGGTCCAACATTTCGACAATTAACATATTTGCTAGGATTCAGCAGACCTGGGTATCTGCTCTCTCACTTCCTTATTCCTTCACAAAAGTTACCAGATGTTCTGACTGTTCCCATTTGTTCCCACTTCTGGGTCTAACAACACAAAGGAGACCAAACGCCTGGATCACAGCTCCACACAGATATGCTCTCATTCAGATAAAGAAAGAACACTGCAAGCAGCTGACGTAATACAGCAAGCCAGGGCCTGGTTTTCCAACTGGAGCCTCCCTTTTGGTGGGCATAATTTGGTATGCCCAGTGAATTTTGTCCACACTTTTGCATATGCAACTCATTCGGTCTTTGCCTAGCAATTCACTGCCGGTGTGGAATTGTGATTATATACACACTAACATGGAGCACAATTTTTTGCTGTCACTGAAAACATGAAGTCCTGTTTGAGAACCAGCTTCCTATTGTTCAGTGTTACAGCATGTCACATGGTGACCATAGGCAAACCATTTAGAAGTCACTGGAAGTGAAATTCATATACGCATTTACATACATAAACTGTCCATGGACAGGGTTGCCATTTGCAGAAAGTAACACATTCTGAAAAGAGAATCTGCATACAAATTGTAATTTGCAGATGAATCTCTGCTCTTGCATGCCTCAAAGGGATGTTGTAAGGTTGAATTAATTAATATTGATAGAGTTTTTTGAGATCCTCAAGCATAAAGCTCATCATAAGCACAAAATGCACATGATTATTGCCACTAAATTATTGTTTCTTCATGTTTGCAATTCTGGAATTGTTGCATTTGGAGATTTCACTAGATACAGGGGAGACACTACCATATTAGCATCTTTTATGCTTCTTCTAATGTTTCTGATTTGGAGCAAGCCTCACCTGCTTTGGTTGTCACTTTCAGCAAGTAACCATCCAAGTCGATCTGAAACTGAGGAGTCTCGCAAGGCAGTGATATCCGGGTCCCATTCCATTTCACTGTAAGGTGCTGCTGGAGGCTAATAGTGCTTCTGCCCAACACAAGGTCCACAGATTTTGTCCAGGAGAAAGAACGGGTCCGACGGGCATCGTTTTTCACCAGCACCTGGAAGGGCGAGGCAGAGGAGGAGCAGTCTTTCGTCAAAACGTACTGACATGTTCCCTGAAAGTTAAATGTCCTTCCATCAAAAGTGTTGTAGTGGGGGTCTCCAAATACAGTGCAAACTCCAGGCTCTGCAGGTAAGTGAGAAACAAGAGCACCATCAAGACCAATTGAAGTCTGAAAAGCAGCAGTTGATAGGAACTTAAGAGACACAGCCCACCCTTATATGCCCAAAAGTTCACAGTTAGGTGGAAGTGGAGGGCAACCAATAATAATAAATGTTTTTTTTAATTGAATGACAAGCTTGTTGCTTTCTATTTTTTCAATTTAAACATTCTTTTCAGGGTTGGGAAAATAAACATCAACATTTGTGGAACTAGCTAGAAACAAAAGACAAACCGACCAGTCTAATTCCACCACTCAAGCTGAATGAAACATAGAAAAGAAATAAACAGGTGGGATAAACTATGTTAGATTATTTTAAAAATTTCAGTTCCAGCAACCAAAGGCCCTGATCCTGCAGTCACATCTTTGCCTGTGCCCAAATCCTTGTTTCTGTGCACAGCCCAGTGGAATCACTGGGGCTCTGGGCAGGCACAAGGGTCTGGGCATGTAGGTTTTATTGCAGGCTGAAGGCGTTAACAGTGACAGAAATATGGAACATATATATGTTCCATGATATAATTTTAATTATATATATATATACACGAGTTATATCCTACCTCATTGAAATCAATGGGCATTGTACCATTGACTTCAGCAGTTTCTGGATCTGGCCTTACATGCTTATATATTTATATACATAACATTTATATTATAGAGATAGACAGATATAGTTGTTTGGCCAGATTCACTTGTTTGTTCTGGCTGGCCTGCTCTGCTCCAGAGACATAAAGTAGCTGTAAATTTGCCTACCAGTGAATCTAATGCCTACACATAAAATGTACTCTCACATTCACTATATAATTCTATAAAACATAATCTAACCACTAATATAATTTATCCACTTTGGTTTTTTAGTCAATATGGTTCTGTTGATACCTGGTTTAAGTCAATATTGGCTGAAAAACAAGCACTTTGTGAATATCTAATAGTGTGATTTACTTACATCAATATTTTCTACAAATGTAGGACAAATTTCTGGCTGGTGTTTTCGTCTGTGAAGGTGTCAGAGAAGTCACAGGTCAATGGGGAGCAAAGTGCATTTTTTTCACCCCGACTATTATTTTTATAGATTTTTTGTATTGCTGTAGCACGTAGGGGAACCAGTCATAGACTAGCACCCCACTGTGCTAAGCAGCACAGCTTCACTGATGCAGCTGCACCGCTGTCGCACTTCTGGTGAAGATGGTTCAAGCCGACAGAGAGCTCTCCCACCAATTTAGTAACTCCTGCCTCCGCGAGAGGCGGTAGCTATTCACTGGTGCTTAGGTTGGTATAATTTACATGCCTCAGGGATGTGAATTATTCACACCCCTGAGCGATGTAAATTATACAAAAGTAATTTGTAGTGTAGATATAGCCTAAGGAAGGGCTTGTCTTCACTACAGGGGTTAGTCCACCTAAGTTACGCTACACATTGCTTAGGTCAACCTACCCCGGTGTCTTCACTTTGCTGCGTTGAGGGGAGATGCTCTGCAGTCGACTTCCCTTACTCTTCTCGGGGAGCTGGAATACCGGGGTTGACTGGAGAGTACTCTGCCATCAATTTAGCAGGTCTTCACTAGACCTACAACATCGACCCCTGCTGCATCAATTGCAGCAGCATTGATATCCCCGTAATGAAGACCAGCCCACAGATTCTAACTCCCCTCCAATGGAGAGGCTGTGTGTAGGTTATGTATGACCAGAGATACAGAGGAGACTTCAGTGGCAGGGTCTAGGGATTAAGGGGAATGGCTCACATATTTTAGAGTTTCCACCTCCTGATGCAGCAATAAACACTAGTAACACTACCATCAGCTGATTACTGCTGTTTCTGGCAGGAATAGTCTGCATAGCAAGGATGTACATGGTGCTGCAATCAACAAAATACAGGTGTACATTAATGCTGCTTTTGAAGCATCAACATACACCAGCTGAAGTCAATGAGAGCTGTAGAGGCTCAGCACCTCTGAAAATCATGCCTTACAAATTACCAAATGAGCACTAAAAATAAATAAATTAAGGAGCATTTTTTAAAACGTGGGCACCAACTTCTGTGTGCCTCAGTTTCTTCATCTGAAAAGGATAAGGATAATACTATTCACCTCAAAGGAGTCTTATTTTACTGATGACTAGTTCTATTGATTTCAAGTGATAGTTACCCATTTAAAGAATTATAGCATCAGGTTCTGATGCTACTGGTAAGTATTATATTAGCATTTTGTCTTCATTTTCCTGGGTACCAATGCAATTATTTGCATAAAATTTATTTCCTTATTTGTTTTAAGAAATTAGATATTATTTCTATTCATGTGGGCAGGGAACTTCTAAGAAAATGAGGAAATCAGCAACAACAAAATAGCCCAAACCATGGGGAAAATTTCAATGAAAAGAACTGTTTTTTGTCTGTGTTTCTGGAGGCCAAGAATATGGGGTTATTGTACATATTATTACCTAGTGTCTTTTTTTATTCAGCTAAGACAGACATGGTTAAGAATCAAGACACAGAGAACAAACATCATTTAGATATGTGCCAGCTAAATTGTTAGTACTGACAGGATCCAAAAGAAATATTTGTTTTTAATTTCTAACATGTTATGCAGAGTAATGTTGTTTTATGTTATGTTACATCGTGTCACATCATATGTCAACTTGGTGCAGTGCACTTACAATAAAAAAAGAATATATTCTGGGCTGGACAATTCAATGTCTGATGCAAATGTTGTTGTTTACTTTAAGAACTGAAATTTAAAAAGAGAGTTACCTATGAATAGTCTAAATTATCTGCTACTACAGTGCCTTTGTATAAAATATTTCTGAAAGTTCTGTTAGAAATGTGTTTAAAAAAAATCAACAGTTTGCATGAGTGTGTGAGAGATTCCTCAGACACTAGCCAACAAGGAGGACTGAAAAGAAAGCTTAAATGCAGAGTGTAGCGGGATTGTAAAGGGCAAAGGACACAAAAAGGGTTCCAGCCACCATCTGTAGCTTGCTTCCCCTTCCTCCTCACTCAGAAGGGTTTTAATCACAGATTGTTTATGTTCTTTCCCCCCCCAAAAGATATCCCCCATGAGACCTATTGGAAGCAGTGGTTCTTTAGTTAACAGTGTATGAGCAGCCCTCTTCAGCAATATTGAAGTCATTCAGTGGATGTACCAACAACTGGACATGTAAAGGGACTAGCATAGTCCCCGTGTTTACATGCACACACATTTGGTCCTCACCTCTTAAAGACTTTGACCAAGATTTTCAGAAAGTTTGGGATTTTCAAAAGGGCAGAACAGAGTTAGGTGACTATCATCCAGTTGCATCCCTAATTCCCTTGGGATCCTTTGAAAATCCCAAATTAAGCCCACATTTTGACTCCTAAATAAATGACCTTATTTTCCCAACTGCTGAGTTCAGTGAGATCTGCTGGGTGGTTGACACTTTTAAAAATAAGATCACTTATTTAGCAGCCTAAACATGGACTTAGGAGCCTACCATTAGGCTTCTGCTGTTGAAAATTGCGGCCTTTGTGTACATCTCATACAATAGACTCAGTCTCCACCCACCTAAAGGATCTAAAATTTGCCTGTGACCTAGATCGTTCCAGTTCCTAGCAGACTGGCTTAAATTTGGCATTCATAAAGCAAGAAGTCATGCAGTGGGGAGCAGATATCCTAAATAAATTATTATTTAGCCACTGGAGTGAGCTCTGAGGAAACTGGTTTGGACATTTTCTAAGTAAAGAGATAGAGGGGAAAAAATAGAAGTTTACTGGTTAAGGTGATTTATTTGTACATCTATAACTCATAAAGGACTCAGCTTTTTAAAACCAAAATGAAACTTTGAATGTAATTAGGCCAAATGGTAAACTAAGCCCTAATGGGGCAAATTATTAACAGCACATGCACAACAGAATTTCATTGTTTAATTTAAAAATGCTAATCCCTATAATACTTTCATCATAATTGCCCCATGGTACAGCTTGATATAATGCACATTGTAGGGTGTTTTTGTCAAAAAAAAGAAAAAGAAAAAACAAAACAAAACTCCGCAGGAGAAGATATGGTCTAATTCATAAATAAAATTGCTATTCAGATTTGTCTAATTACATACTCATGCAGTAGACCATGACAGCTGAAAAGTCTGTATCGGTAAATCACATGCAGTTTTTCTAGGTATTTAGCCTTGCAGTCTATTTTGTTGATACACACTTCCATGAGAGGAGTTTTTTAAAAAGTGATTACTATAAAAGGGAGCAATGTACTATACTAAATTAAGGTACCAGTTGTTACTACCAGAGACTTGGATTCTAATATGACATGTCACAAGAATTTCGTGACCTCACTCTTGCCTATAGTGATGACTTGTCAATTACAAAATCACAGAGTGATTTGGCATGACTGCCACACTCTGCCCAGAAAAGGCCTATAACTGGAATAATAATAAACGATACTAGTAGACTTGTATAGCACTTTTCTTCTGAAGATCTAAGAGTGGCTTTAAAAATCTTAATTAATGAAACCACACAGCACCAAATTGTGGCAGGTACAACAGGTAAATTGAAGTACAGAGAGGTTGTGGCTCAGTCATGATAGCAGATGTGATAACTGATCAGGATTAAAGCATATCCACAGAGTTGTGGTGGGAAGCTTTCACAGTGCCTATGCCCTCTACAACTTTAGCAAATGTTGTGAGTCCTTCCAAGCAAGGATGAGAGATTTAACCTGAATTCCAAATTTCCTTGCCTTTAGTCTTGGGTTGAGGTTAGATTGTTAATATCATTTGAATGTAGTTTAGTGGCGGTTGCGGAGTATATGAAAATGATCTGGGTATAACATAGGATTATTAATTTATGGAACTGACGTCAGTGGCACTTTTTGTAAACCAGGCCCAAAAGACCATATTTCATTACACTTTTACAACAGGATAAACTAAACTGTTGAACTAAACGACATTTTCCACTGGTCTGACCACTGTGTTTAATTAGTAATAACTGTACACCAGCCATGGAGTTTAGGAAAGGATGTGCCAAAACTAACTATAGTTAATCCTAGCAGCAATAGACAAAAGGGACTTACTACCCCTTTAGGAGACTAGGTACTTTTTCTCTCTGCCGCAAACTGTTTTGAAAAATACATTTTAAACTAAAAAAATATATATGTCTTTTAACAATGACTGTTTTGGACCCAGTTTGTAGAAACTGGCTATGCACATCAGTACTCAGCTCTCCTGAGCACAGTGTGTTTTTGTACCTCCTGTGTTGTTTTTGCTTTGGGAAATCACATCTGCTAGAACCGCCAGAAATGTCTAGTGTATTAATAGGTGTAATGTGTGTACATCTTATCTTATCAGAAGCAGGCTGCTGTTGCAAGGCCTCTGATGATCTGGCACTTTGCATTATAATTATACAGTTCGGAACTCATTAGTTAATTTTAAAAAAATTATTCTATAAAAGCTACGTTGTGCTTGATATTTGCCCCTCAGTATTGGGGCCAGTGCTGAGACACACCATCCCAAAGGGAGATCCAAGAAGAATTGTACTTTCAGTCGGCCCAGAGGAGCATGCCGACTGCACCAACTTTTAGGATAATGTAAAATGCTCCCATTTCTGCATCCAGGCAGCTCTGCCAGCCAGTGTGGGCAGAAGGGATGGGGCCATAACTCCCCTTCTGTCTGTTTTGGCTAGAAACTCTACAGCTGCTAGGAGGGAGTGCCGTTTTCCCGAGCCCTGCCCAGAAAAGGCCTGATCTACAGTCCATTGAAGTGAATGGAAAGACACTTACTGACTTCTGGAGGAGTTGAATCAGGCCCAAAATGCAAGAGGGGCATGGTTTCTTTAGCACTCCCCTGTCTGTGTACTTGCCCAGGGCCTGGCTACTCTGTTCTTAAGTAAGGTGTCACTTGATGAGCTACAGCTGGTACTTCAATAACAGCAGGTATATAAGCTTCACACTCTTCTTCACTGGTGAAGGCACTTGGCCTTTAGTTTCACTTGTGTTGAGGGTTATTGCTTACATAAATCACCACGGAGTCTTTTGTAACCTTCAAAAGTCATTTTAATCTTAATTTAATTATTTTTATTTTAAATAAAAATAGCAATTCCCCTGGCACCTGGAGAACAGAACACCTTGTAATTCAATTAAAATAGCTCTGAAAAAATGACTTCACCCTCTCCCCTTTATCCATCTCCAGAAGAAGGGCACACTGTCCATTTGCAAATACTTTTAGTTCAACTCAAGAAGGCTTTCAATGATAGTGAATTACGGGGTGCATCATCCATTTAAGATTTTAATTTACTTCCCTCTCAAATGATCCTGATGTTGCCTTACTATTAATTATTGACTAAGAATTTCTACAGGAAGCTTCCCATACCGTCAAGTCATGCTGTGATTTTGTAATTGACAAAGTGACCACTAGAGGCAAGACTCAAGTCACCAAATTCATGGCACTTGTGAAAGGTTGTATTTGAACCCAGGGCTCTGAAAGTTTCTGTGCCTTTGAAATGAAAAATTTATATCCGTTAAAGCAAAACCTGCTTCATTTCAAGATCCTTCCATCTGCTTCTCTTTACTGTCTCTCATTCTGAGTATATGTCACATATTTCTATGACCAATGTCATAGAATATCAGGGTTGGAAGGGACCTCAGAAGATCATCTAGTCCAACCACCTGCTCAAAGCAGGACCAATCCCCAATTTTTGCCCCAGATCCCTAAAAGTCCCCCTCAAGGATTGAACTCACAACCCTGGGTTTAGCAGGCCAATGTTCAAACCACTGAGCTATCAATGTCACTCATTCTAGCCTTGGAGTACTGAAAACTGGACATATGGTAAGAGATATGTTGGATTAATTTATAAATACAGGATATTACCATGACACCAATTCAACCATAATTTCCTTTACTAAGGCCAAGTGGTGTTTATACAATTGCTCTAAACATGTCTAACAGCAATATGTTAAGAGTGCCTCAGTATGTTTGAGATGCATAGTGGAAGAAGTAATGACTTATTGTACATCATGTGTATAATCTGATAGCAGCCAACATAAATGATTATAAAGTACAGCTGATGGCAAATTTCAAAAAATTAAAAAATTTAGACAAAACCAGACATTTTCCATAGAAATTATGTTTAGTTTTTTGGACTGCTCTGTTATAAAGTATTAAGGCCCTGATTCAGCAGTGCATCCCTATTCAGTAAAGCACTTAACCATGTGCCTACCTTTACATTAAGTATGGGCTTACGTGCTTTGCTGAATAGGGATGCTTAAATATTTTGATAATAGGGCTATGAGAGGGAAAGGATGATGCTATGGCTAAAGCACAGAATTATATCAAGAGGCCTGTGTTCCATTGTATTCCCTATCTCTGCCACAGACTTCCTGTTTGACTTTTGCAAACCTTTTCTGACTCCCACAAATCAACATGAAGGACCTGGAGCATGATATCTGATTATGCTTTGCATTTCTTCATATCACTACCTTAGCTTAGATAACTGCAAATGTTATTTGATTCATTCTGGCTACAAATTTCACAGGAAAACTATAATTTATTCTGTAAAGAGAGAAATGCTTCCTCTAATTTGACACACACAAAAGGTGGTAATTGGAAGATTAAAAATTCCCTTTGACAGGTATTTTATTTTTAATTTATGGGAGATATTATACTAACTCTGTCCCCTGCTAAAAGCGCCTGCCTATGCCTCCTCAAAAAAGAGGTAGATGAAATGCGAGCACGTTTCAATTGTAACATTTTCTTGATAGAATAAAAGAGAACTTTTAAAATGTGAAGAAGGAACTTACTCACTTTCAGTGCAAATAGGACAGCATCCTTTTCTGTTCAGGATCTTACCCTAATTGGGAAAAAAGATAGACTGGCTTAATGAAAGAGTTTTTGGAGCAACGACTGTTATGTTGTAACGCTGGATAAACCTTTGAAAATAGTTCAAGTTGTGTTTGAACTCAATGCCCTGGTTACAGCTTCAAATATCAGGTGTTAAAAACAGACAGAACTATTCAAAAAGCTTCCTGGCAGTCCCCTAAGAAATAAAATACTAAAAGGGTTCTCTGTTGCTACTTTTCTCTTAGAGAGAGAGCGGGGCGGGTGGGGGGGGGAGAATTTGTACACATGTATTCATGGCTATCTAAAGTAGACTAGTTGTTTTATATAACTAAGTCTCCAACCTTTTCCCCATAAAATACATATGGTTCATTTCTGATGCAGATTGCTTGTATCCCTTCAGTTGCGTATGGGAAATCCCTAGTAAAGAGACTCATTCATTCAGCTACAAATACAAGGAAGAGATCTCACTGGTACAAATCAAGTTTATTCAAATTCTCTTCCAAGGATAAATACGGTGATATCCCTTACAAAATCATATTACTAAACTAGAAATAGTGAACCAAATTCTCTGCTGGAGCCAATGGGTGTACTATTTACATCAGCAAAGACTTTGGTCCAATATTAGTAATATTGAGCAAAGGCTCAATACACTTTGCCCAGGCCAAGGTTTTTTGGGTTGTGGGTGTGGGTGTGTTTAAATAGTTCTGTCTCAAATAGAAGTTGCTAGAATTAGGAAATATGAGCTTTTGTTTGTGTGTGCACGTGTGTATGTGTTCTTTTAAAATCTTCACTGAATAAAAAAGTGGCCTAATTGATTTAGTTCAAATTTGCTGAAACTCACCTTCAAGTTGAGAATAAACATGGAACATCTCAACCTGGAAGGTGGATGTTTCTGAGGGTTTGTCCAACACAAAGAGTTAGTCTGCAGCAGGCTACTGCAGGGTAGATTCACAGCCCAGCTTGCCATGAACTAATTGTTTGTGTAGACAAACCCTTAGTGAAACCTAGGGTGGTTATAACTGAAACTGCTTTGTAAGTCACCCAGCATACCCATGCAAGGAGGCAAGAGGCATATGGAACTTCCTTACTCCCCTGCATTGGCTCTCCACATCACTGATAGCAGCTCATGGAAGGGGAGAGCAGCCTCTGAAGGGCTGCTACTCTGGTTGTCTTACAACTGGGCAGTGAATAGGCAGAGCTTTGGCTCTGCCCTTCTCAGTACACCAGCCAGAGCAGAAGAACTGGTGAGAATGGAGAAGTAATCAGCAGCAGGTACCGAGCTCATGCAGGTTACCTCTCTCCCAGAAAATTGGGACAACCAGAGACCAGACTGTGATTCTGAGTCTCTCAAGCACCTGTTATAATAAAAAACTTTTAAACACCTTTAACTAAATGCCATATAAACCCCCAAAATAATATACAGAGAGATTTAATTGGGCAGCCCTTATTAGCATTAATGGGAGACATGCAGCTTAATGCCCATACATTATACTGAATATTCTTACCTCTCCGTTTCAATAAAAGAGTTGAAATCATCAGCCAAGCTGGAAATGGCAGGAATTCAAGTGAAATTGGAATCTGCAAGGCAGTCTGCTGAGCCTGGTTACTTGAGCCACTATGTTGGCATGGGATCCTGTTTTTGTCTTGTACAATAAGGAAGCCCATTATTGCTAACATGTGCTGCAAGAGTTCGTTAGCGCTGAGGGTTCCCTAAGGAGTGGGGTAAGTGATGTGATCCCATTTTTACCTATGAATATTTATAAGCAGACTGCATTCAAGCCTCTTTATTTTCTAGGATTTTTCTTCTTTTTCATGAGTTTTCAAGTCTATGTTTGAGGGGGGATTTTTGTAAAGGCAAGAATAATTAGGGCTTGAGGGGGGAGGGTTGATTGGTTGTGCAATAGCAACAGCTGTTGTTTTTTTGTGCCTCATTTGGCACTGCAGTAAAAACAGCAACTTTTTGTTTGTAATAATAACAGATGTGTATAAAATTAAACACTGTCTGTGCTTGGGAAGGGAGAACATGTTGTGAATAAATTTTAAACTCACATGAAGTTCACGGGTTCAAAATTTATCCACAGAATCAAATCCTCTGAAAGGCTTCGTGTGCAATGAACTTAGCTCGATTAACTATTTCGTGGAAATGGTGCTCAAAGACAATTTTATGCTTCAAAATCACCATGTGCTTTCATAGTCGCATTGGAAGAAACATATCTATAGCAACTCAGCTTTAGCCCAGGCTGGTATCACTAATTAGAGGTGTGATGTCCTAATGTCCTGGTGGTGTGAGGAGGACAGCAGCAAGGTAGAAAACGATAGTGAGAGAGAGAATGGAGCTGGTATAAAGGAAGCAAAGAACTTGGAAGAGTAAAGACTGTGGAGAGGAGAAAGGGGTAAGTAAGGAGAATATGGGCTTATCTTCATGTACAGCAGTGCAGCTGAGCCCTGTAGTGCTTTAGTGAAGACGCTACTACACTGACAGGAGAGTTTCTCCCATCAGTGTAGTTAATCCACCTCCCCGAGAGACGGTACCAATGTTGACAGAAGAAGCTCCTGTTAACATACACCGTCTACATACACCGTTGACATACACTGTCTACATTGGGGATTAGGTTGGTATAACTGCATCGCTCAGGTGTGTGGATTTTTCACACCTCTGAGCAATGTAGTTATACTGATATATGTTTGTAGTGGAGACCTGGCCTTAGAAAAGAAGAGGGTTAGAGAATATCTACAGGGACTCAATCCTGAAGAGGATGAGTTTACTCCATTTCAGTAAAGCACTTAAGTACATGCTCAACTTTAAACATATGTGCATGCCTGTTGGCTTCAGCTGGACTACCCACATGCTTAAATGCTTTGCTGGATCATGCTCAGTACAGTGCAGAATGAAGTCCAAGGTAACAGAGGAAGTGCGCCTGCAGAATCAGTGATGAGAAAGTGGAAACAGAAACCATGAGCTAAAAGGCTCACTGGAAACCCAAAGCAGGGCTGACTTTGCTATCAGTGTTGCTCGAGGGCATTAAAATAGAGACACATATATTGCCTCAGTGTGCAAATGAAAGAAACTCAGAAAGGCACTTCCTGAAATTATCAGAAATAGTAAAAGATTTGATACTAAAAAAAAAAAGTAAGAAAAAATGTGTACAACCTTGGGAAAAATGAAAGCAATGTCTCACAAAATGTGGCAATCTGCCCCCAGTCCAGACAATAATACAAGTGGTTACTGGGTATAAAAAACATATACAGCTTTACCGGTGTGAAGCCTGTTCCGAGTCATATAGAAAAGTCCTAATTAATTTAGAGTTAGGTTGATGAATGAATCAATATTGCATCAGGAAAACTTCATGAACAGAATGCTAAAGCTGAAGAGTTAAGCTTTTATAAGTCAAGGTATAAATATGTAAGCTTGCCTGCAAATCCTTAACTCTTTCACCTTTGTATGTGTGCATTATGACACAGGATTTAATGGCATGCTCACATGAGGCCACTCTTACTCGCACCAAGCAGTGCCTTACTCCACAAGCAATCCCACAAGTGTGGGTCTAATGGTCTAGAGTGCTATTCAGAGCTAGTAAGGAAATCAAGGTCCTACCCATATTTTTTCTTAAACAATACAGTATTATCTTGTACAATTTTTCTTCAGCCTAGCTCATAGTATACTTACAAACTTGCAGCAAACACATCACTACCAAATCTATATCTTGTATTACGCAAAGTATAGCTTTGTGACAGAACAGCCTCGACACAAGGTAGGTTTGTGAAAGGATCAAATGAGTAACATGTGTTATTTGCTTTAAAATTCCTTAAGGAGAGAGAGAAAATTAGAACCCAACACTATAGGGCTGCTTTCTCCTTTCTTCCTTCTAATATTCTTTATCCTGAAAAAAAAACTGAGAATAATGTGTTTTTACATTAGGGTGATGTTTTGGTGAAGGGCTGGTTTTTTGGTTGGTTTGTTGGTTGGGAGGTTTTGGAGCTGGGAAAGGCAACAGTGAGACTTCATTTTGAATCCTGGGACAGGATGGCTTGGTTAGAACCTATTAAGAACGGAGGGATGGCACAGCTTTTCTTTTTTAGCCCTGAGGAGGAGCTGTTTCTTGTTTGGGAACTAAGTTTGGGGGTTTAGTTTAAGCTCCGGAGCTTGTTTTAGTCTAGGAGTGTATCATAGTTCAGAAGTTCACTCCCGCTTGGAAGTTTAGTATTATTCGGAAGCCTGCAGCAGCCTGGGAATTTAGTTTAGTTCAGAAGCTTACTCTAGATTTGGGAGTTTACTCCATTCCTGAGAACCCATCCCAGTTTCAGAAGCTTAATTTGGATTGAGATTCCAATCCCAGCTAGAACCCAGAGCTGGTACAACTTAGTTAACAGTTTCAGGTAAAAGCCTTTCTATCCTAACAGGGATGTTTATTTCTTATGAAGCTGCTAATGGCATTTTGTAAGTTAAATTTACATGCTTCCTATGCTTCTTAAATCCTTTATTTTCTATATTTTTAATGGAGGACTTCTAACTCTTTTTGCTCTTTTTCCCTTGACTTCACTTATCAGTCTAGGACTCACACCTCTCATGATAGAACTGTAGTATGAAAATGTTGAAAGAGCATGTAAGTGTGCCTCATAGATCAGAGAGTTAAAGCTATTATAAGAATGTATAAGGTGAATTTTCATGTGGCATTGTTTTTCTTAATTGAGTGTATGAACAGCAAGGGCAACAGTACACTTATTTATTACCTTAATGCATCATTTCCAGTCTTTTCAATTCTTAAGTTTATTTAAATGAAATATAATGTAATGTTGTATTTTGCAGACAGGTCGTATTAAATTACTTTAGCAACCTGAGCTCTGAGGAGCTGTAAAAGCTTAAATTGGGTAAATGTAGGACACTACAGAGAGGCACCAATTTTTTTCTGTGTTGCCACACTCCTAAGAATTCTCATAGAAAACTTGATGTGCTAGATAAAAAGTTTTCTGTGGTCCCAGGTATTCATTTCCTATGCACTCCCTAAGAACTGCCTGAGGGACCTCCTAATATTCCCAGAAGCGTTGTATTAGTGCACAATTTCTAAGGTATACAGTAGCAGAGCTTCTCTCTTGTGAAGCTTAGGAGGCCCATGGCAGAAGGACTGAACTCCTGTGAACCACCAAAAATGAGCAGGAAAAGATTGCCTCTACTGCAGAGAGTTCTGAAGGTTCACTGGTGCAGTGACCCTGCCTCTATAGCATTTGGAGATCCAAAGTACAAGCAAACACCTCTACCATTGCCCTGGGCTGTCAAAAACTCACCAAAACACATTCTTATTCACAGGAGTTTCTCACTGAAAATTTTATACACAGGTGTTTGTGACTAATATTTTCTCCTTTTGGCTTCCATGACAGAGAAGGAAACACTGAGAAGGAGTAATACTAATAACTTGGAGGGCTCTTCAGCAGGTTGTTTTAAAACGACTCTCTGCATAAGATGTCATTTTAGCTCTGCTTCTCCTGAAAGCTTGCACTATTAAAACTAAGTAATTTGTAAATGACAGGCATCCAAAACACAAAATGTTAGACATCAGCCCAAATGTTATTAAAGAATCATTTTTAAAGTAATTAAATAATAGGAGACTACACTAATCTTTGGATTCACTTCGAAATTTCACCAAAAAAAAAAAAAATCAGTCTCCACCTTAGGAGAAAGTGACATAGTTTTGGTTGAGCTCATTCTCTGTTTTCATGCCTAACAAAATGATTACCCCCAGCTGTATTGAAAAAGTGAACACAACCTTTGCTGCACATCTCCATAGTACACAAGCATGATCTATTGACTTTGGCAACCTTGCTACACCAATAAAGCTATTGAGTATGTGAGAGAGAAGTAAGCCTGGGAGCAGAGAGAGCAGCTTTGGTTCAGATATAAAAGGGGGAGCAAAAGCACGGGAGCCTTCAGAGCAAAGAGAGAGGCCTGAGGACAGAACTAGCCTGAAAAGAGATGTTACAGTGCTTTGAGAATTCTAGGGACAAGGCGGGTGAGTTAATATCTTTTATTGGACCAACTCCTGTTTGTGAAAGAGACAAGCTTTCAAGCTTATACAGAACATTTCAGAAGTTGGTCTAATAAAAGATATGACCTCACCCACCTTGTCTCTAATATCCTGGGACCAACACAGTTTACAACAACACTGCACAAAACAATTGAGAATTCTAGTCAACTATAGACCCTAGAATTTTTGACGGTTCCCTCTTCCCCAGGCTTTGTGTACACCAGTTCGACTGAGAAACACTGACAAAGATAAATGAGGGTCGTGGGGGAGAACATATTCCATTAAAAACTCACATGAGGGCAGCTGTTGACTGGAATGCACTGCTTCTTGCGACACTCTGTCTTGCCTTTCACACAAGCACAGATGGTGCAGTTAACAGAGGACCACATCTCTCCGTCCTGCAGGAGGGAGAACATGATATAGCTATCAGCTGGGGTGGCGGAAGGAAGCTATTCCAACAATGTATCATTTTCATTGCACAGAAAAGCACTGCATTCCCTTTTGGAGTTACATCATTGTTTAGTCTAAATTATTATGAGGTGCTCATCCACACCCAGTCCGATTAAAGATGAAGATGAGCAGGGATTTCTTCCCTCTGATCCTTCAGGTTAGAAAATCATTCTTCCAAGTCCATGTTTTCTTTTTCCTTGAATGACCTGATTAGTTGTATTGTTTCTCTCACCAGTGGAATGTGATCACACCTATTGTGAATTTTCATTTAAGCTGACATAATTAGAAAAATCTGATTCATTACCTTCAGATAACTGACATGTTTAAGTTATTGCATGTTAAAGCATTTCGTTAAGATGCCAGAATACAGTGAATTTATTCCCAGATGTGGCATCATTCTGGGTCCACAGGAATGGAGAAATCATGCATTCTTATTCAGATTACTTACAATGCTTTCGCAGGCCCTGGATCTGCTAAACATCTGAAAATGTTTAGAACAGATACAATACTAAACTACCCAAATGTATAGCAGGAATGGTATTCTTCCAGAAGACAGCCTGTGTCTCTAAAAATGTATTAAGTGGGCAGCAGAATGCTCTTCATATTGTTTTTAACATATTCAGGAAAGTATGGGGAACTGTCCTGGCTCCTTTCTACATGTCTTGGCATTTGACAAGTGCAGTTTCTAAATCATTCCACCTCACCCACATATAGTCCTGTGCTAGCCCATGGAGAGCCTGGCTGTGCAAGCCTTCTGTTTACAGGATGCTTGAGGAGGAAGGGCGAGGGGCAGGCAGACAGAAAGAGAGTAGAGGCAGTCCAAGAGGACAGAAAGTGATTGTGGATCCACCTACACTCAAGTTTCTCAGGGCTGGGATCAGAGGGAAAGCACGCTCAAATTTTATGATTTTTTATGCACAGCATGATTTTTAAGGGCTGTCCTGCTTTGTCTTTTATTCTGAGGTGATGCAGAATTGCCTAACTGTTTTGGTGCAGCGTAAGTTGACAGACACCAGCAAAAGAAATGATCTCCAAGCAGGAGAGCAATTAAAAGAAGACACAACCGTTGCCTGATTGTGATCTCACACCCGTTGTACACTTATGTAACTCCATTGACTTAGAATCATTCCCAACAGTTGTATAAAAAAGGTAAAAATCAGACCCAGTTCCCACACACCCCTTTTTTGTGTTTTTGTAAACACTTGTTAGCAAAATAAAATAAATCACAAGAAGCAGAGAATTTCATTTGGGTGCTCAAGAAGTAGTGCTGAAATACAATAGTGCCATTGTCTAAGTTCTAGTCAGATCAAATGTAGTTTCTTTGCACCTATTAAGCATGGTGTTTGTTCACATATAATTTACAGAATAAACATTTCTGCTACATACAAGTAAAATAGAATTAATGGAAAGCAATTTGGAATGAGTAAACTTAGTGTACTCAAGGGATTTAACATTTGATCTGATTCTCTTATTTCACAGATAGCCAACAAGGTGACAGAGTCTGTTCCAACACAATGTGAAAGAAGCTGCACCAGCTTGAAAAAACAAACAGGGACCTGGCAATATAAGAATTGTTTTGCAAGAAATCATTACAGATCTACAAATTTTAGTTGGGAGAGAAGGAGGAGATCATTGCTACATGGCGTTCCAATGTGGGATGTAGGAAGCACGGTCTGTAACATAGCTGTGAACTGTAATATATTCAAAACTTCCAGCTGCGACAAGCTTAGCACAGTTCCTACTGGCTCAACCTGGAGGAGACTCCCTTTTGACTCAGCTGATAAAGACCACTGAAAAATACCTTTTCTATGACTATCAGAATTTCTTTGGGAAGGGGAAGCACAATCCTCTGATTAAAAATGCATTATTCAGCATGAAGCAGCAACCTGATTCTCTGTTTGGGGAGAGGGAGACAGCATGCCAAGTATAGGAGAAATTAATTTTAATTTTTTTCTGTCAGCAGAACTTACACAACCATAAAAAAACAACAGCAGATGGCAATTTTTTCAAATATTTGCCTCCAAGCTATTCTGTTGATAGATTCATAGACTCCAAGGCCAGAAAGGACCATTTTGATCATCTAGTCTGACCTCCTATACCACAGTGCCACAAATCTTCCCAAAATAATTCCTAGAGCATATATTTTAGAAAAAAATCCAATCTTGATTTAAAAATTGTGAGTGATGGAGAATCCATTACAATGCTTGGTAAATTGTTCCAATGGTTAATTAGTCTCACTGTTAAAAATGTGCACCTGTTGGCAATAAGCATAATGAAAATTCTGCTAAAAAGCAAGCCCCAACACTAAGTTATAGTAATCCAGTGCTATTTCAGCTATTACAATGATACCTATTACTGAGCCACACCCAAAACATTACCCGAAAGATCTTGTTCCCGAATTTGCACACTTTCAGTTCGTCAGGAGAGACGTACGAGACACACTCCTGGCAGCAGTGTTCCTTGCTTTTATTGCATTCTCCAGGAGGTGAGCACTTCTTCTTACATACTACTGTAGAATTCTGAGCAAAAGGACAGAAGAAAAGCAAAAGGGACACTAATTTATTAGGAAAATGTTCACCCCCAATTGTAACATCTGCGTGTGTTGTGGTAATCATTTCCACCCAATGTAGCTAATAGCTACTTTGATCAGATCTGCTTAGAATAAAATATTTTATTGAATTCAGGAAATCTTTCAGAGTGTGTTTGTTTAATAATGTAAGCAGGGCCTAATTCTGAACTTGCGCTTTTGTAGTCATATAAAATCTGACCATGTTGATTTGGTAGCCTTTCACATTCCCTTTGTTTGGATGTCAATGACCACACAAGGTACTTATCAGTACAGAGTAAGGCCCTGTAGTTCTCAGATCTTACAAACATCTCTCCTAGGCAATAAAAACCACAGCCCACAGCATAGGAATGTTGTTGCTGACTTACCCTGCAGGTACACATAGTGCAGTTGTCATAAACAAAAGAGGATCCATTGTCATAAACATCACTGTGAAAGAGGCAGCTTCCAAATGGGAGGTCAAACACTTTCCTCTGGCCTGAATACAAACAACAGACACAGAATGTGGTTGAAAGGATGCCTTGTTGTCAACAAAAATAACACAGCTTACTGTTCCCAGTCCATTTGGGTGTCTAGAAAGTTTTTTAAACAGTTCCCTATTCATTTAGCAGATATTAATCTGAGTAAAATGAAGAGGTTACTCACCTATAACTGGAGGTTCTTTGAGATGTGTGGTTCCTATCTGTATTCCACGGAGGGTTTAGCTATGTGTACCATGCATCCGGAGCCAGAGATTTTGAAAATAGTAGCGTCTGTTGGTCCATGCATGTGCCCTTGGTTCACCTCATGGTTTTGTGCAAGGTGATAATTGGATTGACTGCATCTCCAGTTCCTTCTCCACTGCAAATCCAAGGAAACCACTGCAGAGGGGAACGAGCGTGGGAAGTGGAATACAGATAGGGATCAGACATCTCAAAGAACCTCCAGTTACAGGTAAGTAACCTCCTTTCTTCTTCAAGTGGTAGTGTGTATTGTATTCCACTGAGGGTGATTAACAAGCAGTACCTAAGTCGGAAGAGGATGTGAGAAACTCAGACCTTAGCTGGTACACAGTAACAATTTTCTGCCCCCCTGGGGGTAGGCCTACATTTGGCCAGCATATGCCAAACCATTCTACCTGGCTCAAGGATGGCATTGTTGATTGGTAGATCGACTCTACCCGACACAAGTGAGTGAAGTAGGTCCAGCAGCTTACGCTGAGTGTCCTGGATCTCCTCCAGGGGAATGTGCAGCTCTCCAACCACTCTACACAGGAGCTCCTGGGACTGGCCGTAGTCATCAGGGGATGGATGGGAAGCCAAAGCCACTGCAGGATCTGGTGAGGATGACAGGAATCTCTCCTGTTCCAGGGGTACTGTCAGAGCCCAACTGAGTGGCTCATCTTTCATTATTGGTTCCGAGCATCTACTCAAAGGTACCCGACACAGTGAAGTAGGTGAAGCCTAACTGATGTAACAGACGGGTTCCAAGGGTGGATATTGGGGCCAGAATCCCCAATAAGGCCAGCATGATAGATCTAGAGGGTGTTACAGAGGGCCTCACGACATAGTAAGCCAGTGGCTCTGTGGCAGCTGGAGTGGGGGATACTGCCACAATGTAGAAAGTCTCCATTGGTACTTGTAGTGGTGGAAAGGGATGGATGGTGCCTGTCCCTCATCTGATTCCTTCAAAAACAACGCAGAGACCAGTTCCATTGGCAGTACCGACAGAAGGAAATACACAGCTGGAGCCGGAGGCAGGGGGCGGGGGTGAGGTGAGGATAAACTCTACTTGGAAGTAGAGGGCCCCAGAAAGTGTGAAGGCTTTGGTTCTCCCAACGCAAACACTTCCTGGGGCTCTGGGGCTTTTGCAGACCTCCCAGGAGTCAAGGATACTTTTTCAGTCTCCGGAATAAGTACAGGAGCACTGGTCTTCCTGGAGAAGATGGCTCTCTAGCTCTGATGGATGCCAATGTTGACTGCATGTGCGGGTCCACACCTGGTACCAGTGGATCCATCAATTTGTGTGGTTCCTTTAGATGTTTGTGTGCTTTAGGGCACACTCCGTCCCCATGACTGGAACTTGTGGAAGGAGTCTCTCTCTTCTTAGGCTTAGAGGAAGACTTACTGCCATGCTTATGTGAATGCTTCCTGACCTCCTGAGTAGGCCCCAGTATAGGGTCCATATTGGTGGCACTGCCAGTTCCGGCCTCAGATTCAGTAGCTGGAGGTGCACTCCTGGCAACTTCAGACCGATCTACAGGGGGAAGGAAGGGGGTTGCCTGAATAGGGTCCGAATCAGGTCTCATGGCAACTTCCATGAGGTGATTCCGGAGGTCTCAGGTACAGCTGGGGAAAGTCTGGCAGACACTGCATATGGATGAAATGTGGGCTTCTCCTAAGCAGTAGAGGCAGCATTGATGTTTGTCTCTGACCGAGAAAGAACATGGGCAGGAGGCTCAGATTTTAAAGCTTGGGATTTTTAGCAGAGTCCAGTACCTGCACGTGGGTATAGGGGCAGGAAAGCGGGGGGGGGGGGGGGGTTCACAAGGAACTAAACTACCCCAGAAGACCCCCACTTCTACTCCTAAAACTACCAAACTACTAAAAACTACTATAAAAACAATAAAACAGTAAACCACTCTAAAACTAACTATGCACAATGGTTTATTTTTAAAGTGCATCACATGCAACAAGTTTCAGAGTAACAGCCGTGTTAGTCTGTATTCGCAAAAAGAAAAGGAGTACTTGTGGCACCTTAGAGACTAACCAATTTATTTGAGCATGAGCTTTCGTGAGCTACAGCTCACTTCATCGGATGCATACTGTGGAAACTGCAGCAGACTTTATATATACACAGAGAATATGAAACAATACCTCCTCCCACCCCACTGTCCTGCTGGTAATAGCTTATCTAAAGTGATCATCAGGTGGGCCATTTCCAGCACAAATCCAGGTTTTCTCACCCTCCACCCCCCCCACACAAATTCACTCTCCTGCTGGTGCTAGCCCATCCAAAGTGACAACTCTTTACATAATCAAGTCGGGCTATTTCCTGCACAAATCCAGGTTTTCTCACATCCCCCCCACCCCCATACACACACAAACTCACTCTCCTGCTGGTAATAGCTCATCCAAACTGACCACTCTCCAAGTTTAAATCCAAGTTAAACCAGAACATCTGGGGGGGGGGGGTAGGAAAAAACAAGAGGAAACAGGCTACCTTGCATAATGACTTAGCCACTCCCAGTCTCTATTTAAGCCTAAATTAATAGTATCCATTTATTCTTTTACGTAGAGACTGTCCAGTTTGACCAATGTACATGGCAGAGGGGCATTGCTGGCACATGATGGCATATATCACATTGGTGGATGTGCAGGTGAACGAGCCTCTGATAGTGTGGCTGATGTTATTAGGCCCTGTGATGGTGTCCCCTGAATAGATATGTGGGCACAATTGGCAATGAGCTTTCGTGAGCTACAGCTCACTTCATCGGATGCATATTGTGCCCACATATCTATTCAGGGGACACCATCACAGGGCCTAATAACATCAGCCACACTATCAGAGGCTCGTTCACCTGCACATCCACCAATGTGATATATGCCATCATGTGCCAGCAATGCCCCTCTGCCATGTACATTGGTCAAACTGGACAGTCTCTACGTAAAAGAATAAATGGATACTATTAATTTAGGCTTAAATAGAGACTGGGAGTGGCTAAGTCATTATGCAAGGTAGCCTGTTTCCTCTTGTTTTTTCCTACCCCCCCCCCCCAGATGTTCTGGTTTAACTTGGATTTAAACTTGGAGAGTGGTCAGTTTGGATGAGCTATTACCAGCAGGAGAGTGAGTTTGTGTGTGTATGGGGGTGGGGGGGATGTGAGAAAACCTGGATTTGTGCAGGAAATAGCCCGACTTGATTATGTAAAGAGTTGTCACTTTGGATGGGCTAGCACCAGCAGGAGAGTGAATTTGTGTGGGGGGGTGGAGGGTGAGAAAACCTGGATTTGTGCTGGAAATGGCCCACCTGATGATCACTTTAGATAAGCTATTACCAGCAGGACAGTGGGGTGGGAGGAGGTATTGTTTCATATTCTCTGTGTATATATAAAGTCTGCTGCAGTTTCCACAGTATGCATCCGATGAAGTGAGCTGTAGCTCACGAAAGCTCATGCTCAAATAAATTGGTTAGTCTCTAAGGTGCCACAAGTACTCCTTTTCTTTTTGCACATGCAACAAGACACTAATAGTTCTGACCTGGACCATGTGGCAATGAGAAGAAACTGGAGACAAGGTTGGTCTGTCCCACCTTTTATCACCTTGGATGAAACCATGAGGAGAGCCCAGGCAGATTCATGGAGCAACTGACACTACTACTTTCAAAATCTCTGGATCTGGATGCATGGTGCATATGTGTAAATGCTCAGTGTACTACAATAGGGACCATCACTCGAAGAACTACTTTTCCCCTAAGGGAGAGGATTTTAATATGAATTAGGACATGTTTCTATTAGAAAAACTTCCCCCGCCCCACCACCATACAAGTGCACCCATGTACCTAAATCAATTTAAAATCAACCAGTCCATACCCCAAAATAAACTGCATTTATGTTTCTTCATTCAGTATATTACGGAATTAAACTAAACTGGTTAAAGCATGATTCAAACTGGTTTAATATTAGGAGTTTGCAATTTAGTTACACTGGCGCAAAAGTGCTATGTGCTAGACAGCCACTAAATGATTAGTCTCTGTAAAGATGTTTGATACACTCATTTATTGTAGCTTTATGTATTATGCTCAAACATGTCTACAGAAATTATAGGAATTTACAGAATGTTAAAGTTACCTATATTAATCAGAATGGAACCATCAAAAATAAATAAAGGAAAGGAAATCAGTGTGGAGAATATACATTCCACGAAGCAAATTACATGACTTTGGAAGGAGTGGAGGAACGGTAATATTATGGAAATATTTTGTTCTCATGACAGTAAGGGACCTGACAGCATAGGTCAGAGTAAAGTTTAGAGAAGCATCAATTCCCTCCCAAAGCTCTGCAACAACTCAGTCTTCCAACACCTTGCAATTCTGCAAGCAATGCAGTCTTGCTACTCCACCTGTCTCTATTCTGTTCTTCAGATTCTGTTTTATTGAATTCTTTTGAACAGATGGACAATATATTGGTTCTCTGATATGAACAAAAATCCACTTAAGACTCAAATAAAATCACTAACCTCATCTTCCCTTTTGAGCAAAGCAAACCTACACCAACAACATGCTTTCACCTACTTTTTCTTTGGTGAGAGCCAAGCTCTGATCTTGCAACCTTCTGAGAGTTTATCTATCTGTCAGACAGAAATCTGTCTGTCATTTCCAAGGAATAAAATCATTACTGCAAGTAAGTGCAGCATGGCACTAACTTATTATTATGCCATTAATTTAGTTCTCAGAGTGGTGAGAAACCCATATTTTGGCATTTGGAATGCTAATAGCTGT